TAGTGATCAGCATATGGAATAACCCCTCTATACCCAACTCTAGCCATGGAAGTTTTGTCCCCCTACCGTAAACCTACCGCTACTTTATGAAAATGCTCCAGAATGCAAAAAGAATATGTTATTAGTGATTTGCATGTCAAATAACCCCTTAGGCCAATCTTCAGCGAAATCCATGATTTTGACCCACTACCGTATACCCTATGTAACCTCAGAAAATGGCGCTAAATGAATACCTGTACCAAATGAATATAATATTCGGTATCAGCGAGTCGAATAACTCCCCGAGTCAAGTTCCAGCGAAATCCGTGATGCTGAGATTTGGGGCCCGTTGAGTGGAATACTCAAAATCACTAAAATACCCAAAATACCCAGTACCCAAATTTTTCTGTGAGTTGGGCACAATCTAAGTTGCTCGACTAAACCTTCCCTTTTTGTCTCTTGTTCAAACACTGCTATGATGAATCAGCATGGCAAGACTTTGCGCTAGTGGTCAGCCCCTATTATGGTCTGTATCTTACGGTAAAAGGCAGTTTTGTAATCTTGCATTTAGAGCAGGTTACATATTATGATCTGAATTTTTTTTTGAAACTACAGGGAAATAAAGAAGTCTTGGGGCTTGAGTTCTAAACTGCTTTTCTTTGCATTACCTCTTTGCGATCAGGTACTCAAGGAAAATTGGTGAGACATAACGAGGACTGAGATATAAGGACTTATAAGTAGGACGGAAATGAGATTGAAATGAAAATTGTTGGTTGGTTTTAGAAAAGTACGACCATTTGCATTAGAGATGTAAATACAGCAGATTTAATGGAAGTTTCTATGAATTTTAAAGCTCAACGCTTGCCAGAATAAACTGCGTCTGGACCATTTTCTTGGTCACCTTTCTTACATGCTGGGTTTGGGACAAAGTCCTTTAATCTTATAGGTGACTAACTATAGTAACTTACATATGTATTGTCCATTGGCAATAACTCATTGTATATAGCGCAAGTTACAAGCTTTTTATATCATAAAACCTTATAAAAGAGAAAGGAAATGATGCCAGTTTACCTTTGACAGCCATCCATTCAGCATAGATTTCGTGATCTGGAACTCTTTACAGGTACGGTACTTGTTCTGGCCATTGTTGTGATAGTATTCGATGACCATGAGCTTGAACTCTCTTGGATAAGACATTCTGTTGCTGCCTGCCGACGCTGCAAGCTTCAGCGCTATCCATTCTGCCTTCAAGTTTCCTTCCGTGCATA